ATTATATCTATGATAGTCACTTCCTCTTTCAATTCGATCACCCAAATATCGAGGCAGCAAACCGTTAACTATTTTAAAAATGAACACCATAGTCAAATATACAATTCTTTGCTTCACCGACAACCATTGTAAGGCGTCTAGCATCAAAGTTGAGGAAGTGAATCTATTACATCTCAAAATCAAACGCATTATTTTATTCTGCAAGCGCTGTAATCTCGATATTTGTGTTGCATTGGCCAGAAATAAAATGGAAGGGCAAAAGTCAAGATGAGGAGAGATGATTGATTTGTATAGCCGTATTTTACTGGCAATAGTTAAATCGTTTTTCAGTCGACATAGAATTCCATACTTCTTGGCAATTTTCTTGATGACATTGTCAATGTGAGAGTTGAACTTAAGTGTGTCATCAATAATCACGCCAAGATATTTAATCTCCCGAACGCGATCAATAGTCTCATCATCAATTATAACAGAGACGTTCTCATTTACTCGATTCCGCGAAATTACCATAAATTTAGTTTTACTTGTATTCAATTTTAACTGCTTATACTTCAACCATCTACTAAGAGAACGCAAATCTTCATTCAAGTGTAAAACGGCATCATCTTAATCCTTAGCTGCAATGAATAACACAGTATCATTTGCAAAAAGATTAATGTCGCAAAATCGTAAAACACGTCACAAGTCATTAATATCCATAATAAATAACAGGGGCCCTAATACACTTCCCTGGGGCACTCCAAGGTTATTCCCCACGGGACTGGAAAACGAATCATTAAAAACAGTCCGTTGAGTTCTGTCAGACAAATAGCTTTCAAGCCATTTATATGCAGTACTCGTAATTCCAAAGCGCTTGATTGATCTTAACAATAAGGGCCTAGAAATTGTTTCAAAAGCGCGTTTAAGATCCAAAAAACAGCAAAGTTATTTTTCCACTTCGCCAATACCAAATTCAACGTGGTTTCACAAGAATGACCATCCCGATATCCCGATTGTTCTGGTATCAACAAACTATTACCATTTAAATACTCCAACAGCTGGCCTTTAACAACAAGTTCTAAAATTTTCTCTAATGTGTGCAACATGTTGATGGGACGAAACTCTTCGGCTTTAATCGTTCCAGCAACTTTTTGAATAGGAACCACTAAGGATTCCTTCCAAATTTGTGGCACATGTCCAGTTTGTAATGATTCATTAATAAGGTCCAGCTAGATGTGGCCAATGACATGAAAGCAATCTTGAATAACTCAAGGCATCATCTAAAATTTTAAGCTGAACTATGTCAAGAGAAGCTACAGTTTTATTTTGAAAACAGCCGAGAATGAAGGCCTTTTATTAGCGGGTACACGAAAGTAGTTCAGCATCAAGAATTGTTTCGACTGCTTGGATGTGGTTCTAAAGCACGTTGGTAAACTACTGGAAGAAAATTCTTCTGTCAAATTTCGCGAGTTAACAATGCAATGAAGACGACGGATTTGCAGATCATGTCCGAAATTCAACAAATTCACGTAAAATTTGGTGCTCCTGGGATAGTAAAAAAACAGTGAAATCAACGAAATCATATGAGATGAGCTACAGCAGATGAAATTGTTAGCAAACTAGACCCATCTACAATGAATATGGATTATATTTTCATCCCACCACGGAAGAAATCGGGTACAAAATTAATCAACTCTCGGAGTTCGAAAACTTCTGCACATTGCACAGTGGTCCAGATTGCAGATTTAGGTGGAATGAAATGTTTTGAGCCTGAAATTGAAACATTAGACTTAAAGTCTCTTGTACAAAGTTCTTCTTTATAGTTATGCCCTCATTTTTATGACAATGAATTCTAGGGTGGTTCCTATTATCATTAAAATCAAAAATCTAACTTATTTGTTTGAATAAATTAAGGTGTACATTCTTCGGCAAAGTAATAGCTGAGCTAATTTCAAGCAACTTTGTAGGTAACAACTTTTTTGTATCTCTTAAATTGGCCGATTTAGAGCTATTTTCTTGAATTAAGTTAGGGTGGCTCTAAAAAACAGTTGTTTTGCTCTAGTTTTCTTATTTTGAATTTCTCAGCAAAGGTGTCTTGAAATAACTTTTAGATCTTAAGAAGGCGCATGAAAAAAATTGGAGGTATGTTATTTTTTAAACTCGTATAAAATCAATTTGAATTTATTCATATTTTTTTCTATATTCGGGTATATCTTTTTTATTGGAGGAGATACAGACAACAAATTTCGCTAAAAAACATTTCTGGACCACTGTGCATTGGACAGTAATGTCGAACAGAGTGCAAAAATGTAAGATTTGCTAAGGGAAGTCGAAACCCTTCTCAAGGAGTGGATGAACGAGGGTGACAAGAATGCATAAAACATGCATTTCGGAATACCCATATTGAAGGGTATGTTAGAGTTTTTCTTGTACTCATGACCGCCATTTTGGTTTCCAAAATGGTGCCTGGCATCGATTTCTGGCCTCTATACGTCGTCCCCTTTCCGGAAATACCATTATTGTAGGGTATTTTACAGGTTTTCTTGAACCAATCATCTTGGATTATAAAATGACGTTTGGCATCGATTTCCGGCCTCTACACGTCATCCCCTTTCCGAAAATACCCATATTGTAGGATATTTGACAGTTTTTCTGGAACCGATGACCGCCATCTAAGATTACAAAATGGCGTCTGGCATCGATTTCCAGCCTCTACACGTCATCCCATTTCCGAAAATACCCATATTTTACGGTATATGAGAGTTTTTCTTGAACTGATGACCGCCATCTTGGATTTAAAAATGGCACCTGGCATCGGTTTCCGACCTCTGCACGTCGTTTTCTTTTTAGAAATATCCATATTGTTGTGAGAGAGTTCTGAAATAATATGACCACCATCCGAAAGGACTTGGCTACCTGAACAACTTTGCTAAAGACAGCAACTTTCTAAATGGTCACTTTCTCGAGATACAGTTTATATAGGAAGTTCACATGCACACTAGCGCTGTGTATAGAGAGAGAGTTCTGAACTAATATGAACACCATACAAAAAGACATGATCACTTGAACAACTTTGCTTAAGACAGTAACCTTCTATATGGCCAGGATCACGAAATATTCTATGTTGGACCTAAGATCCACATTAGGGTGCTTCATTCTGAAAAAAGTGATGAATTTCTGATGGGCCACCCTTCAGTTCGATTCATAGCCCCAAAATATGAACCTGTGCAAAAATTGGTAAAGATTGATGAAGGTTTAGAGGTCGCGCCAATGATTTGAAATTTGTATGGGAATTACTATGGAAGAATTTAAAAAATCGCTTATATCGCTATAACTTTGCTTCTACTTGTCCAAATGTCGAAAAAATTTAGTATGTTATTGCTATGGCAATAAACAAAAAGCCTACAGTTGCTACGCTCAGTTTTGCAGCGTATCAAGAATTATAAAAATGTGAAAAAATGGCAAAATAGGGTAAATTGACAGATGAATATGTACAAGGCAACAACGCCAATTTCATCGCAACAACAACAGGCTTGTTGATCATTGTCATGACAACCACATATTTTTTTTTTTCAACGTTTGGACAACTACAACCAAAGTTAGAGCAATGTAAACGAAAATCAATAATTTCCCATACTAATTCACCAAAATCTCCATACAAAATCCAAATCATTGGCGCGACCTCTAAACCTTCATCAATCTTTACCATTTTTTGCACAGGTTCATATTTTGGGGCTATGAATCGAACTGGAGGGTGGCCTATCAAAAATTCATCACTTTTTTCAAAATGAAACACCCTAATCCACATATTATAGCGCCCGTCATAAGTAACATAAAAGTGAAGCACTTCTAGTGGCGTAGTTCCCAATTAAACCTGAATCCAATGAAACAGGCTTGTTGGTCAATCCCAGTACAACAACTTTGTCCAAGATTGTATAGCTCTATATATTGAAACAAATGAGATAATCCACTACAGCCCCTATTAGTGCAAATCCCATAAGCTGTAGGTATCTTTATTCGCGGATAGCCCGGCTATAAGGGAATCCGGCAATAAGGATTCCAGACTGTATTGTTCATAGTCTATCGGGATACTACCCGGATAGAAATAGAATGGATATTATTCCTATCCATTTTTTTTTCTACTCGGCTAATTTTAAAACGGAGTATATCCGGATAATTTTAAAATTATCCGGATAGGGATAGGGATAATATGCAATGATAGATTGGATAATGGATAAAGGAAAGGGATAATTTTGATGCCTGGTTATAACACTCAAAATTTTACCAAAAAGTTGCCTATACTAGTTATTTTGAGTATCCCCTGTAGTTGAAACCTCCTTGACATTTGTGTTTTAGAGGTGTTCAAATCTCCTCTAAAGCGATGTGAGCATGACAAGTATCAAATAAAACTATATATTATTTAATAGGTATGCCTAATTTTACTAAAATCGTCATCCAGCTCCACAGTTTTCCTATAAATTTCACTAGGATGGCGAGCGGACCCGGTTTAGAAGAAAATACATTCTTTGAACATCCCTAGAATGCTTCTAACACGATAAAGAACTAATGCATACAAGCATCTGAGCATCCCAATCGACAGCTCTTGCTTGATATTTTCTCTTGCATAGATTATGTATAGCCTCACCATGAATCAATGACCATATCAGTCATTCCGGAACCACCGGGATGCCCCTGGGGGAACCTGTTGTAGGGAACAATTGCAATTTTTCACAAAAACATGCTTTTCGACGGCTTTGTTTCATGGTTTTTCATGAAGATCCTATTTATAGTCTTGAAATACACCATAAACCATATTTGCCACTCCGGGACCACCGGTATGCTTCCGGGATAGCATGTAGTAGGGGACAATTGCAGTTTTTCACCAAAACATGCCTTTTCGACGGCTCTAGCTTTATTATTTTTCATGAATAGGCTATTTATAGTCTTGAAATTAACCAATGGTCAAATGAATGAAGATTATAATAAATAAACGAACAAATAAATAAATAAGCCAAACTCACCATAAACGGCAACTCGTCGGAAGACCTTGACGTACCACTTCCGGAAGACCCTTGCTTTTGCTGTTGAAGCAACTGCCGCAGCTCCACCAGTGCACCATCGTCGCCATCCTCTGGCCCTCGCAGGATCACCGGTGATGACTGGTCCTGTTCCTCCAGCTCCTGGATCCGATTCTGCAGCTTTGATATGATGTCGTCCCGCTTCTTGACCTCCAGTTCCAGATTGAAGAACTTGTCCTGAAACTTGACCTGTATCTCCTTCATATGCGTCTGGATGACCTGCTTGATGCCGAGTAGCACCTCGCCGAAGAATTCCTGCTCCTCCAGCGATCCTAGAGATGGCAATAGGCAACACATACACACAGGGTTCATAGAAAAGCGACACACGAACGCGGGGTGTGTTCGTGCACGGATAGGGAAAAGGAAGAAAAGGGAAAAACAGAGAAAAACATCAATTAGTCAGGATTGGATCTCCGAAGCCGAAAACTCCGTGACCGATTGTGTCGATTGTCCTTCACAAGTACTCCCGTTTCTCTGGGAAACATCTGTTCCGGAAGAAAAGCTACATCACACTTTATGTATATGCAAAAAAAAACCATCCGTAGAATTGAGGGCCTACGGGAAATTCACTATCACTTTTGCTATCTCTCACTTTCTCTACATGGATTACTGATGAAGTGTGCCAATCAACAAATCGTTCCGTATTAATTTTTAAACTGTACAGTGTGGGTCTAGGGGAGGATGGATGCGTTTGCGTCAAGTGTTTCAGTGTCTGATTCCGGACGGCAGCCTTCCGACCGTTGCACAGTGGGGAAATTTGGTCCCAACTCAGTAGCTCCTCGGTCGGCTGCTCAGTTGCGACCAAATTTATCATCACACTGTGCGTGGTGCATGATGTGTGAAAAGGATTCAATCTACTGTGATGGTGACCGGTCGGTCGGTGATGGAAGGGAATGATTGATGGACCGTTCGTTAGCATGCAAATATTGACCAAATTGAGGGAAATAGAGAAGCCAAAGCTACTGAAATCGTGTTTTGTTCCATCTGGGTTCCGGGAACCGAACTGCATTAGCAACGGAGTAGTGCGAATCTAATTTCTGGCTCGATGGGCACTCCGGGTGTTCTGAAATTTCAGAAGGCTAGTTATGTCGAAACAATGTAATTCACATTGAGATTGGTTTGGTTGAGACCTAATGGGGTAAATGTTCTAGTGTAGGTTGGACTATACTTCTATTATACAGTATTGTGAAATGTTTGCCGTTCGCATGAAGTTCGGAAACAACGCAGAGTGAGTATGGTTTGGAAAACGGGGGATCAGAAGATTAGATTGATTAGTCTATCATGGGCTTAGGCTCACACCGCCTCTGATGGACAGAGCAGTTTGAGATCCGGAGATGGTGTTCGGTAAATAGATTGATCGATACATTGAAGCCATCTAGGTAAACTTGCTCAAAGAACGAACGGAAATGGGTGCTTCGTATTGTGGAGGAGAATTTGATCCTAATTGGATTATAGGTGTTGAGCTGTTTCTTGATGATGTTTGCATTAGTTGGTTGGTTAAACGTTTATTCCTTTTAAGCTTCATTTGTGTAACATTATAAACAATTGTAGAGGTGTTTGTATCACAGGAACCGGCAGTATCTAAACAAAATGAGCATCTAGGCCATTCGTTCATACCTTTTGGTATGTGCTGTTCGCAGTAAAGGTGTAACCCAGCCTGTCGAGCTTTCCGTTCACAACATGGGTGGTTTAAGCGCCACTCCCAAAGGGATACCACCCAGCAGATTGCAGGTTTGCCCGGCCTGAGACTTTCCTGAAGATTGGGTCGAAGTTTCCCGAATACGGGGAGAATGCTGACTGGCTGTTGGAAAGATTTACCCAAGAAGATTTCCCGCGAAGTCCCCAAAAATTACAGGTACACAAGAACAACAATTTCAAATCCAGAACAGAAGTCACGTGAGCGGGGGTTTTCATCACGAGCCTAACCAAAACGATCTATCGTACTGACCGCTAAGATTCTAGAGACGCCAGGGATCAGAATCGGGCTGATCATCCCATGAAAATCGCCGAAAACGTTAAAACCTGAGAGCTTTTCCTAATACACTATCATAAGGAAAACCATGTAACTGGGAGTTCAACTGTATTTATTTAGGGGAACCTCACAATTGTCGCCCTTTACTTAAGCTCATCTCAACACCAAAGCTCAACTAGAATGAAACAAGCTTTTCCGATCGCTACATTCGTTTGTGTATTGTTTGCTCTCTACATTTCTGCTTGCCTACACGCTAAGATCAGATAACCCAAATGTAGGTTTACCTTACCCAAATCAGGCGTAAACTGCACTAACTCAGATATGGGTAAATTTTTTAACCCAAATATGGGTAAATTTAAGTCAAATTTGCATAACAATAAATCATTTATGGATCATAAGAACCCATATTTGGGTTAAAAAAATTAACCCATATGTGAGTTTGTGCAATTTACGGCCAATCTCGGTAATCTCTTTGTACCGTCTGGGTAAACTGATTTTAGCGTGTAGGCCTTTATCTTCCCTTCCCTTTCCTCTTTCCTATCCTTTAGCGTGCACTACCAATGCAACCTGGTCTATACAAGGTGTGGAATTGATTGCCTGTACGTATTGGTGCAGTTCGTTTTTCACTCGGCTTAGCACGATTTTCTTCTTTCGTATGCTGAAACACGCTCGTATTTACGTCATAACGTTTGTTTCAATCAGTGTTTGCATTTGAAATTGAATATGAATTATAGAATTTCTGTATGAAGCTAAAATTTATGAATGTTTTTCCACTGAATGTTGAGATAATGTATTGATTATTTTATTAGCACACTGTATACCATGAAAAAGCAGTCTACTAGTGAGTTTTTGCCCGTGTACAAGTAAGAAGTAACTATAAAAATACAAAACGCCTGCTGATATTTCCCAGATACTTTACAAAAACATACAAGCAAGCGCAATCATGCAAACATATCTAGAATTTGCTGTACTTCATATTACACAAATTTGCTTTCGACTGCTATGACGTCGTGGTCATCCTCTCTCGCAATGTTTATCTTTTTCCCTCTACCAACACCTACGTGAGGGCTAGATCTCCACACCTTGTATAGACCAGGTTGACATGCATGTACAGTCAAGGTTCCTATACACGGTAACCGAAAAATACCCAATAATGACTACAAAGTAAGAATTTTTGAGGGAGACTGGGACTACCCATTAAATGAGTAAAAATATTACCCATTCATGGGTATTTGTTATTCAAAAATGAATACTTACTACTTGTTTTTGTAGTTGTAATTACTCATAAATGGGAAAATTTTTACTCATTTAATGGGTAGTCCCAGTTTCCCTCGAAAATGCTTACTTTGTAGTCATTATTGGGTATTTTGCGGTTACCGTGTAGTGCGGATTCGTTCTTGCCGGATTCCTATACGGTAACCGCAAAATACCCAATAATGATTACAAAGTAAGCATTTTTGAGGGAAACTGGGACTACCCATTAAATGAGCAAAATTGCTTCGAATTGATTGTTCTACAACTTTTAGAACATTGCATTGGTCTATCTCAAATAATAAAAAAAAAATTTGAACATTTAAATCTCCAATTTTGTGGACCATCCTAATTTCACCAACATAAAAAGATCGGCCAAACAATATGAAGAAACTTTCCCAAAAACACTAAAAACCAAAAACTGACGGTTTGGGCGCAAACATTTTTGTCTTCCTAAATAAGGCTTTGGGACCATTGTGAAGTGAATGGTCCTCGGAAAGATCCGAAACATCCGTAAAAAGGCTCAATTCATGGAACTGATCTAAAAACTCCGTTTTTTCGTAAACTCTTATAGACGTCTTATAATTATTAATTCGGAGTTATGATCCGAAAATAAACGCTCCTCAGGAAAATAATAGACAACTCATCAGAATGAACTCATAGTTGTGACTGGAAAATGGACCACAGGGTCCATTGTATGGTCCTCCGGAATGTTCGGACTGATCTAAGCACTCTGTGGTTTCTTATAACTGCTCATAGACACGTGGATGATTTCTAGGTGGTATTTAAGTATTTAATAATTCTAGACACTTTTAACGGAATTTTTGAATATTGTTCCTTGGATTTCATGATCATATTTCCCTTGATTTCTTGGAGATGTTTCTTTGGAGTTACAAGTTAACGAGGCACTAGCTTCAATGTTCATATTTTTAATTCTCATCAAAATTTAATCAATAAGCCATTTGAAAACATCGTGTTATTGAGTTATTATTAATATTAATTTATGAGTGGTTTTGAAAAAAAAACAACCTTGTAGCTCTAGGATCAGTTTCATGAATTAATCACTTTCAATGATCTTCCGGATCTTTTAATACACCATCCCGTGGTCCCCAGTACAAACTGTCTGGTCAAAACTTCGATTTGATTGTGATAAGACGTCTATGAGTGCTTTCTAAAAAATCGTGGAGCTCAAGGATCAATTTCATGAATTGAGCACTTTTAGGGATGTTCCGGATCTTCCGATGGGCCAACCCGTAGTCTCCAGAGTCCATATTCTGAACTCAACACCGAATTCATTCTGATAAGATTATTTATAAATCATTAGTTAGGAGACTTTCATCCCTGGGCTGGTTCGTCTCCGAAAGTTCTGATAAGCTGTCTCTGAGTGGTTTCTAAAAAAACACGAAGCCTAGGATCAGTTTAATGAATTGACCACTTTAACGGATGTTCTGGATATTTTAGTGGACTATCTCGTGGTCTCCAGTGTAAAATATCTGGTCAAAACTCCGAATTTATTGTGATAAGACGTCCATGAGCGGTTTTTAAAAAAACCGTGGAGCCATAAGATCACTTTCTGCTTAACAACTTCTCAGAAGACATCAGGAAGTTATCTCTTCAAATTGCCCGACAATCAGTGTTTGGTCCCAATTAGCTCTAATCCCGTATGCTACGTGTATTCGTTAATGCCGCTTCCTATAGTGCGGTCCCTATTAACCGTACTATAGGAATCTTGACTGTACACTGGCCTAGTAACTGGGCACTGTCCGAGTAGATATCATTTGAAGAACATTGGTCGGGTTCAGAGCGATATCTGCCGTTTCTGTAGCATAGAACGTGAAACCTCGGAACATCTGATCTGCAGTTGCGGTGTATTACACAGGCGTAGATCTAAATTTCTTCGTAGTGTTATCTTACAACCTAGTTGAATTTGGTCTACTAATCCTGGAAAGGTAGTTGGTTTCATAAACCATATCATACCTGACTGACAATTAGTTGTTCACTCATTAAATAGTGGTCAGCTTGCATGATACGAACAGTAAACATGGGTAC